CATTCTCTCATATTACTTTTTTAAAAAATTCATTCTTAAGGAGAAGAAAATAAAGGATTACATCTCTGTAAAACTATGATATATAATATTCACATAAAATTATGTAACATGTGTATAACATAATGATTAAGAAACAGTCACCTTGTAACTCAAAACACATCAGAAACAATCCTACTGGCACTTTAAAAGCCTTGGCATACTTCTTCCAGAAAATATGGATGTTCCTTTCTGCCAGAGGTACTGGTTTCTGTGCTCATTATCTCCTCACTCATCACTATCTTTTTACCAGATAGTGAGACATCACTAATACATGGTTTATTTCTCTATGCTTTTGAACTTCGAGTGAGCAGGACCTATCACTGACTTCCTTTAATTATTTTTGAGATTCATTCATTTCTTTCAATTGAGATGATATTCACATAATAAAACAAACTGTGTTGATGTGAAATTTTGTCATCACATTTTACTACTGATTATATTACAATTTATAACCACGTATGATTTCTTTCTATGTTTGTTACTATGGACAGAACTCGGGTCGGCCATGTTGGCTGCATGCAAGGCAAACGCCCTGCCCGCTGTGCTATCAGTGGGTGGAGCGATAGCACAGCGGGTAGGGCGTTCGCCTTACACGCGGCCAACATGGCCGACCCGAGTTCGATTCCTCCGCCCCTCTCGGAGAGCCCGGCAAGCGACCGAGAGTATTCGATATGCCAGACACAGTAACAACAAAGTCTCCAATGGAGACATTACTGGGCCCGCTCGAGCAAATCGATGATCAACAGGAGGGCCTTTACCTTTACCTTTTACCTTTACTATGGACAGACCAGTGCAGTCATCAGGAATGATGATATCTATGTTTTTCATATGGGTCTTAGAATGTATGGCATTAAATTTCTCTAGGAGAAGTTCCAGAAACACATAGGACAAGAACAGCTTATCTCCCCTTTACTGATGCCGAAATACTCCCCAAGTGATGGCATCAACTTACATTCCCAAGAGCAATGAATTCCAATTTCTTTATAACCTCCCTGACTGATTATAAGACTTCTTGATTTATAGATTTATAATAGAATTACTTGCATTAATTTGACCATATCCACACGATAACCAAGCTCATTGAGGTTTCTCGGGAGTTCAAGATGCCGCTCTGCTTAACGTTCATTGATTTAAAGAAGGCCTTTGATTCTGTTGAGACAGAAGCGGTCATTGAAGCCCTAGCCAATCAGGGCATTCAAGCCCAATACATCAGGATCCTCCGCGAGCTCTATTGCGGATTCACTACCAGGATCTCACCATTCTACAAAGAAGTGATCGTTGATGTTAAGAGAGGGGTGCGGCAGGGTGATACCATTTCACCGAAACTCTTCAGTGCCACCCTCGAGAACATCATGCGACGACTGGAATGGGAAGGAATGGGAGTGAAGATAGATGGTCGGCAATTACACCACCTCCGCTTTGCTGATGACATTGTTTTAATAACACCAAACATCAGCCAAGCGGCACAAATGCTGGCCGACTTTGACCGTGAGTGTGGAAAGGTAGGACTACAACTGAATCTTACGAAGACAATGTTTATGAGAAACAGCCTTGTTCCTGACGCCCCATTCGCTCTCAATGGAACGACCATCTCCGAATGCAACAGCTATGTGTACCTAGGTCGAGAGGTCAACATGACAAATGACCTGGCACCCGAGCTGCGCAGGAGGAAGAGAGCGGCTTGGAATGCCTTCAAGAACGTCGAAGAAATAGCTAAGAGGACGAAGAACCTCCGGCTCCGGGCACATCTCTTTGATTCCACTGTTCTTCCTGCATTAACATATGCCTCAGAGACCTGGGCCCTACGCAAACAAGATGAGAACGCCATTCAGGTCTCCCAAAGAAGAATAGAAAGAGCTATGCTTGGAATATCACGTTTCACTCAAATGAGAGAACGAATCCGGAGTTCTGACATCCGTCGACGATCAAGGATCAGGGACGCTGTCTCATTTGCCAAGGTGTCGAAAATCAGATGGGCTGGTCACGTAATGAGATTTAAAGACGACCGTTGGACTAGAGCTGTTACTGATTGGATTCCACGGGATGTCAAAAGACCGCGTGGCCGCCCACCTACCAGATGGTCAGACTTCTTCGTCAAGATCATGAACGATCGGTTTGAGGCCCTTCATGTTCCCGGAGCGAACAGATGCCATTGGGCTACACTAGCACGCGACAGGGACAAATGGAGACGTTACTGGCGCCCGCTCGAGCAAATCGACGACTAACGGGAAGTTAAGTGATAAGTGATTTAATTTGATTACTAATTTAAAAGTATATCTTTGGAGCCTGAGCAATAGTACCGCTGGTAGGTTATTTGCCTTACATGAGGCTGACCCAGGTTTGATCCTGGTCACCACATAAGATCCCCTGAGCCCACCAAGAGTGATCCCTGTGCACCATCAGGGGTGGCCCAAAAAACAATCTCCCCTCAAAAAAAGTGCATCTCTTCATAGACTTATTTCATATTTACATATTTGAAGCTTCTCTCTTTTGAAGTTCCTAATCAAATTCTTACTTTTTTATTTTTATTTTTTTTTTTGCTTTTTGGGTCACACCCAGTGATACACAGGGGTTACTCCTGGCTCATGCACTCAGGAAGTACTCCTGCCGGTGCTTGGGGGACCAGATGGGATGCTGGGAATTGAACCCAGGTCGGTAGTTTACAAGGCAAACACCCTACTGGCTGTGCTATTGCTCCAGCCCCCAAGCACAGTGGTAGGGCGTTCGCCTTACAAGCGGCCAACATGGCCGACCCGAGTTCGATTCCTCTGCCCCTCTCGGAGAGCCCGGCAAGCTACAGAGAGTATTCGATATGCCAGACACAGTAACAACAAAGTCTTCAATGGAGACGTTACTGGGCCCGCTCGAGCAAATCGACGATCAACGGGAGGGCCTTTACCTTTTTACCTTAATAAACTGAATAGACGTCATACTGACTTGAAAAAGTATTGCTTTTTTTTCTTTTTCAGTTATCTTATGTGCCCATCAGTCTTTACTTTTATTTCGGACGAGATGGTCACATAGAACAAAGTCATTGATCGAAGATAACACAATCAAGAATCTGAGAAGCTTTAACTAATCAAAATATAGCATTTCTGGAGGCCCCAGAATGCATTGTCTCTTCAGTAATCCTAGGATATACCACCTGAGTACAAACTCAGCAGCAGCTCTCAAGAATTGCCCACTGTGACTTAAAAAAAAAAGGAAAGGAAAGAAAAAATATGTAGTGTATCTTCTTAATTTTAGATAGAATAAGACAAAGCATCTAGAAATTATTTTAGTACTGTAAGGTAAAATGCAAATATAACTTAAACTCAGTAGTTTAAAATATTGAAACGTTATAGTAATTTTTAAAAAACTTTTCCCTACTACTGTTCCCATACTTCCAAGCAAAGATTTAGTACATAATTCCAATTGACACACGTTAAGGTCAGAATGTTTCCAAAATTTTTCTATTCTGAGAAATAAAATGTAGAAGTCATGGCTTGATTTAATAATCGTTTATGCCTTTCAGCATCATATTGCAAACCACAATGCCAGAGGTGGGGGGGGAGTAAAGGTGCCTGCCAAAGAGGCAGGCAAGGGGTGGGGGGGTGACGTGAGGGAACCTGGGGACACTGGTGCTGGGAAATGTACACTGGTGGAGGGATGGGTGTTGGAATAATGTGTGACTGAAATCCAATCATGAACGGCTTTGTAATGCTCTAAAAAAATGAGAACAACATAAAAATAAATAGCACTGTAGCACTGTCCTCCCGTTGTTCAACGATTTGCTTGAGCGGGCACCAGTAACGTCTCCATTGCGAGACTTGTTGTTACTGTTTTTGGCATATTGAATACGCCACCGGGAGCTTGCCAGGCTCTGTCGTGCGGCCGGGATTACTCTCGGTAGCTTGCCGGGCTCTCTGAGAGGGATGGAAGAAGCGAAACCAGGTCAGCCTCGTGCAAGGCAAACACCCTACCCACTCGTTTATGCTAAAAAGACCCAGTGGCAAATACAATCTATAGTAGAAAATCTGAGAGAGCAATGCTTTGAAACAAGGAGGATGGCAGTGGAGAGCAGTGGCCAAGTATACACTCTGCATGTATGAGGTTCTGGGTTTCATCCCCAGCAGCAGGAGAAAAATCACAGTTGAAATCTGAGTTCAAACTTTATCTTTTCATTTTTGTTTGTTTTGAGTCCACAGATGGCAGTGCTCAGGGTTTATTCCTGGCTCTGTACTCAGTGATCACTCCTTGTGGGGTTCAAGGGACCATACATAGTTCCAGGAATAGGAGCTGGGTCAGTCATATGCAAGGCTAGTCTCTTAACCCTACACTATCTCTGCAGTCCTATACTTTAGATAAAAATTACCTCTGGAGTGAGTCACTTTTTTTTTTTTTAATGCATTTTATTTTTATATCTATTTTCTCCATTATAACGGACAAGGGTAATAATACATTTATTAGTATATGTATGTATATATATACATATATATGTAGACTGAAGAGAAGGTGTCTTTTTTTTTTAATTTATTTATTGAATCACTGTGGGAAAGGTTACAAAGCTTTCAGGTTTATGTCTCAGTCATGCAAATATCAAACACATTTCCCTTTACCAATACTTATTTTTTACCATGAAGAACCCCAATGAAACCCCACCCTCCACCCCTCCCCGTCCCTGTGAGGCAGATGAATTCTAGTTAACACTCTATCTGCTTTGATTAGATTCATTGTTTCAATAAAAGATTCACCACTATTATTTAGAGTTTGCCCCCCCCCCCCAAATCAGACATGCTGAAAAAGCATTGTGAAGTGATTTGCTTTCTACAGCTGGGTTCAAGAATTAAATGTTGGTTTTGGATTTCTGCTATTTTACCTATTGACCCTGGAGTGAGTCACTTTTCTAACAAAAAGAATGAGTCTGCTTAACAGTCCTGCAAAACTAAACAAAAACAAAACACCCCCTTGTAATTACTCACTTAATAAATGCTGGTGGCATATCTCTCTTCAAGATCTGATCCTCTGTCGTCTGAACAGTCTCTTTTCCAACCTGAGGAGAAGAAAGATCCACAATTTAAATATACATTGTCAGACTTTTAAAAACTAAACATGCACTTTAGAAATACTTCAGAATAATTCAATCAAGGAAAAGATGGAATGCAATCAGAAAAATTAAAAAAGAAATCTACCACTGAGAATATATATGCATGTCTGTTTAACTGGAAAACTGCTGTAACCCTAACATAGCATATGAAGTACAGGAATCCAATTAGGTAGACTAGCAACTAAACAGAAAAACAGCAGACATTACTGTAACATAATTGTTTGAATAAATCATGATTCTGGAACTAAAAAGCAAATGTAAAAATACACTTCACTAATAAATGCATTCAGACTGAAACATGATTTCTCCCCACCCCCCACTCCTTAATTATAGAGGAACTTTTAAGAAATAATATAGGGCTGGGGATGTGGCTCAGGGGTAGAGAACATGTGTGTTTGGCCCGATTTTAATTGCCTGGTAACACACACACACACACACACACACACACACACACACACACACACACAGATACACTGTAATTTTGAATGCCAATATAGAATAGTTTTGCACGATAAAGTAGAAATGTAATTTGGTAATTCTCCCTGGAAAATAGTTGGCTAGTTTGTGTCTGGAAATATCCTATCTAGGAATTGCACTTGTGAGAATTCATCTTATAGTCAATAATACCAAATGTGGTAATAATATTCACAAGTACATTCACTATCACATTGGTTATAAAAGCTAAAATTTTAAAATGACATCCAACAATAAAGAGTTATTTAATAAATTATGACATATTTTTAGATTGAGCACTATTGAGCAATCAAAACCATAGTTAAGATACAGCACTACAGAAGATGTTTATAATATTATATTTCATTTAGAAAGAATAAAAATCATCTTTAGATTGAGTACTATGGGGCCAGTAAAACAATAGTTAAGAGAGACTCAGTGCTACAGGAAAATGTTTATAATATTGTATTACATTTAAAAGGATAAATAAAAATATAATACACTGACTACCCAAAAATCATTACATATAAAGCAAAACTCTTAACAAATATTAAACAAAATGTTAATATTTTATATATACATTGTATTAATGCTGGAAAATTTTGCAGAAATTTGTATCTTGTAGCTTCTATTTTCGGAAATGAAAAATTATAATTTTTAATCACAATTGGCAAGGGCAGATTGGTTGGGCCACACTCAGCTGTGCTCAGGGTTTATTCCTGGTTCTGTGCTCAAGGATCACTCCTGGAGATTCTCGGGAGATAAATCAGTGCTGAGGATCAAACTGGGGTGGTCCATACACAAGGCAAGTTCATTATACACTATACTATCTCTCTAAGCCACAGTTCTTATCATTTAAAGGAAATATTAAGATGTTATTCTGGGTTAATTAGTGCAATCATTTCCCACCTACTAATTTCCTTAGCAATTATCTCTCATTTTCTGTAACATCTAAATATTAATGGTTGAATTCTGTCACACTAATAGGATTATAGGTATGTACACCCAGATGTTTTTTAATCACAAATGGCACACATATTTATTTTCTTAAAAATTATTCCTCAAAGGAAAATTGTTCCGATAATTGGAGCTGGAGAGATCACTGAGAGGTTAAAGACCTTGCCTTGACGCAGCTCACCCTGATTCGATCCTGATACCACAAATGGTTCCCAAACACCACCAGGGGCGATCCCTAAGCACAGAGCCTGGAGTATGCCCTGAGACTGGGTGTGTCCAAAACAAAATAAAACCCAAAAATTGTTTCTGTAAAGGTCATGGACTTCAATGTCTTTTTAAATATATCACATATAAAGCACTTTGAAAGATGCAATTTTTAAAATGTTTATTTTTGAATGTCTAAATGTTAAATATTTTTTTAAATTTTATTTAAACACCATGATTTACAAAGTTATCAATAGGTGAGTTTTTGACATACAATGTTCTAGCTCCAAGCATACCACCAGTGTCAGCTTCCCTTCACCAGCGTTCCCAGGTTCCCTTCTACCCGAGTCTGCCAGCTTGACAGGCACATTTTAAAATTTGGTTGTTGTAGTTTAGATCTCATACTCTCAGTGTTGTTGACTCTGTGATTTGAATATATAGCTGGTAGCTGTATCCTTGCCTATCGTTCCTTGCATCTGCAGAGGATTTCACTGTGTGTATTCCACATCTTCATAATCCATTCATCTGCTGTTGGATGCTTAGGCTGATTCTTACTGTACTAAATGCTGAAAAGAATAATAGTGTGTATATGTCCTTCTGAATGGATGTTTTTGTTTCCTTGGGATAGAGAGCCGGAAGTGGAACTGCTGGGTCATATGGTAGTTGAATTCTTAGTTTGCTGAGAAATCTCCATACTGTTTTCCATAGACAACATTCCCACCAGCAGTGAATGAGACTTCCTTCCTCATCATGTTCTCATCAACACAGACTATCCCCAATATTTTAGATAGGTCTCATTCTTATTGGTGTGAGATAAGAAGATGCAATTTTTAACCTAGTAGGCAGTAGAAATTCACCAATTTTATAAAAATATAGCTATACTGAGGTATTAGTCATAAATATGAAGTACACTGTAATGCAGAATTGAAAGTGTCTCAATCCTACTATTAAGCAATTTTACTTTTGAAGTTTAAACAAAAAAAATTCTAAATGCACAGTAAATCAATTAAAGAAAGCAACACAATAAACTATTCTCAAGGAATACAAGTCATGCATAAGTTAATGAAAACATCTGAAAAAAAGGCAAACACACACACACACACACACACACACACACACACTGTGTAACAGTCACAGCTTTCATAGACAATAGACTATCTGTACCATAATAAAAGCCTTTCAAATGAGCAGCTGGTTTTCTAGAGTTTCTCAGATCAAAACATGACAGAAAATTTCCAGATGCATTGTTCACTATATTTTCCAACTAAAATCGCCCATTCAAAAGTTTTTGGCCAGATTACAGGAAGTAAGAGATGAAATTCAGCAACAAAGTCACTAATTCATATGAAGGATACAGAGTCTAGAAGGACATTCACACACAGACACATAGAGATTCCTTTTATTTTAAACATATCCGTAATGTACATACACATAATAGAGAAAAAGAGACTGAGAGAAACAGAATGTGAGGGGCAAGTTCCTCTTATATCTCTTCTAGAAAGCAGTTCTACATCACTAAATATTTGTTGAGGACAACCCTATGTATCAGGTACATCCTAGGTACTGAGGAGAGAGCAGAAAATGAACATGAATTTCCTGTTCTCGTGGAACTTTATTCTAGTAGAGTAGACAAAGAATGCAAGGAACTGAATTAATAAACAAGAGCATGCCAGATAATGATACAGGTGATGCTATAAAGAATGGATGGAATAGAAAAAGTCAACTTTCAACGGGGCCCAGGAAAGTAGCACTCGCCTTGCACAGGTGAGGCTCTGAGTTCGATTCCCGGCACCTCCTCCTAATACCACACACGTTATCAAGTGAGAACCCCAGCACCACAAGTGCTGCAACAAAGACAACAACCAAGTAGACAGTGACAGCTTCTATGCGGAACTCACATGGTTACTGAAGTTCTTTGGGCCCCATTCCCCTGAGATGAGAAGGAACAATGCAGACTGAGAAGCACGAACAACGCCCTGAGACAGGGATGTCTAGATGGAGGCTGAGGGTTGGTGAGGGGAGCTGTGATGATGCGGCAGGAATGAAGGAGGAGACTACAGCGGGTCTTTGGGTTCAGGTTCAGGTTTGGAATCCTTCCTAAGTACAACAGGAAGTATGCAGGTGAGGCAAGAGAAAGAAACGATCTGATTGTTACGCAGAGACCCATGTTTAGAGGCTAAGGGGAAGCACCATGAGCAGTTAGGGGCTACCGCCACCATGGGGGGGCAGCAGTGACTGGAAACAGGAAAGGAGAAATGGAAAAGGGACCATTATTTTGGCTTCTCTTGGACGGGTTAGGTAGCGAATAAGAAAGATACTTGGGGAAGAAAATTAGGAATTAAACACAATAACCTGAATTTAATATTGAAATATTATTTTAAAAATTCAGTGAATTGTCTTCAAAGGGTGCAATGATAGAAGGCTGAAAGATGGCAAAGAAAAGATCAAAAGATAAATGAATCATGAGTGGACCAGATAAAATAATTTAAACATTTGCATGGGGCTGGAGCAAGAGCACAGCAGGTAGGGCGTTTGCCTTGCACGCAGCCGACCTGGGTTCAATTCCCAGCATCCCATATGGTCCCCTGAGCACCGCCAGGGGTAATTCCTGAGCACAGAGCCAGGAGTAACCCCTGTGCATTGCCGGGTGTGATGCAAAAAGCAAAAAAAAAAAAATTAAACATTTGCAAACAAATATTCTGACTCAACACTCACATCTCAATCTAAAATGTGTCCGCTCGACTTTTTCCCCTCTGGAAAAGCTTGTCCTTCCCTACTCCCTCCCTTCCTCCTCCCTCCCTTCCTCCCTCCCATCCTCCTTCCTCTCTCCATTCCCCCTCCCTCCCTTTCCCCTCCCTCCTCCTCCTCTTTTTCTCTCTTGCTTTCTGTCTCTTCATTCTCTCTCACCCATTTCTTAAAATAAAACTATTTTACTTTACAAAAATATTCTGACCCAAGTAGAAGGGTAACTGTTAAAGAAGGTAATTTATTTCATTATTTTATATCTCTTTTGTAAGGAGAGAGGTATATGAGGAAAGAGAAGAGATAATAAAAAAATAATCAAAGGCAACACTTAAAAGCTATTTTAAAGCATTTAAGTGAGGGGCATTAAATCTGGTTTCATTTTTCTAAACTGCTTTTGTACTTGCAGTGATGATGTCCACAACTGGTCTGATCTTCAATCCAGTCACCCTGGATTAGGTAAACTAATGGTCCTATTTTTAAGACACAACACGTAAAACACAGCTACGCAGAATGAATGCCATTTTTACTTCGAGAATTGCTCTTTGGCCAGTGCTGTTCCAAAGAACAACGTGCGTAACAGAAATACT